GAACCCAATGGAAAGTGATTGAATTATGGGGTAGGTCTTTCCTGCACTGTTCTCATGACAGTGAATGAGTCTCACGAGATCTGATGGTTTTAAAAAATGGGAGTTTCCCTGCACAAGCTCTCTCTCTTTGCCTGCTGCCATCCATGTAAGACGTGACTTGCTCCTCCTTGTCTCCCACCATGATTGTGAGACCTCCCCAGCCATGTGGAACTGTAAGTCCAATAAACTGTTTTGTTTTGTTTTGTTTTGTTTTGTTTTTTGTAAATTGCCCAGTCTTTGGTATGTCTTTATCAGCAGCATGAAAATAAATTAAGACACCCTCTGAATGTCCCAAGGGCTACCCACCCCTTTCAAAATTGTGTTCATTTCAAGACTTGGAGCATTCTCTTTTCCTTTTGTTTCTAGTCTTTTGTCTTTGAAACTCTTACAGATTCAAAGAAATTGCAAAAATAATACTAAAATAATCAATAAGGCTCAAGGAGAGGAATTATGTCATTACCTTTTGTTAACAGCCATGACTAATAAATAACCTGCTTCCTTCCCTCCTCAGTTCAAGACTGCAGACACAATTGTTAACATTAGTAAGACATTAAATGTTAAAGAACATGGCCATTTAAATACGATAAGAAACTACTATGATATGGGTAGTCTTGCTAGCAGCTTAGTAATTGGTTCAGATCCACACCAGAAGCCTTAAGAATCTTGGAGTTCTCACTTTCAATTCTGTAAAATAGACAAAAGCCCTGCCCTTTCAAGCTGAAAAAGAAAAGCACACACATGCACAGTGTATATGCAAAGAAGTAACTGATCCACAGGTTTGCCTCATAAGATCTAATTGAGAATTGCAGAAACATTGAAAAACTGCTTTCATTATTTCATCTTCTCTGTGTAAGCAAAAGAAAAACATATGAATAAATATATGTATTAGAAGTAATAGTGGAGAAAGGCTTTTATAACTAAATTATCCTCAGAAAATTCAAAGAAACAATCAATAGAATCAAAAAAGCAATCCGTTTCATTCAATAGATAGTACTTTGATTATGGGCCACCAGCAACCACTAATAAATGAAACAATGTTTGCCTTTGATAAATATATTTATATATCACTAGTTTTGAATTCCATTTAGCAACACAAGGCCAGGGAATACATTTATGGAAAACAATACAAAACAAAATTGGCTTTGATTGGATCATGGGAGTAAAGGAGGTCTTAAATAATTTAAAGTTATCCTTTGTCATTTAAAAATGCCTATGGTACAAAGAAAGAAACTGAGGCTTAGAGAAGTTATGTGACATGCCCCAGGTGACACAGCTAGTAAATTTCCCAAGGGAATATGAACTTAAAGGCATCTAATTTCTGAAAGCATGCCTTTAACCCTACAATATTGGTAAATGTCTGTAGAATCAACCATTATACTGGATAAATGAATAAACATGTGCATAACATGACTGGGGAAAGAAATATGATGTGGTACACCTGTCACCTGAGAGGTGAGGTACTCAATAAGTACTGCTGGAATAACAAAAAAAAATGCCTGTGGTAAATCATAAAATCAGAAATGCTGCTAGTAACAATCTGGAATCTGGAGTCAGAATGGTATAGAAAAGGAGCACATTGAGCATAAGGGTTCCTGAGTGCTGGTCTCAGTTCAGTCACAGACTTCCATGGCCTGACTAGGAAATACTTTGTCATCTATATGCATTATTTTCAGATGAGTGTCACTGTTTTTAAATAAAGAGATTAAATTGCTTGATTTTAAGCTCCCTTTTAAATCTAAATTAGGATTTGATGCTACTATCTATTAATATGAAATAAACACAAACTTCAAATTTGAATAAAATAAAGAGGAAAAACGAATGTGTACATAGTTGGTGGGAGTGTAAATTAGTTCAACCATCGTGGAAGACAATTTCTCAAGGATCTAGAAATTGAACTTCCATTTAACCCAGCAATCCCATTACTGGGTATATACCCAAAGAACTATAAATCATTCTACTACAAAGACACACGCACACGTATGTTCATAGCGGCCCTGTTTACAATAGCAAAGACCTGGAATCAACCCAAATGCCCATCAATGATAGACTGGACAAAGAAAATGTGGCACATATACACCATGGAATACTATGCAGCCATAAAAAAAATGAGTTTGTGTCCTGTGTAGGGACTTGGATGAATCTGGAAACCATCATTTTCAGCAAACTGACACAAGAACAGAAAACCAAACACCACATGTTCTCACTCATAGGCGAGTGTTGAACAATGAGAACATGTGGACTCAGGGAGAGGAGTATCACACACTGGGGGCAGTTGGGGGGGGTAGCGCAGAGACAGCAGGGGGTGGGAAGGGTGGGGAGGGATAACATGGGGAGAAATGCTGGATATAGTATGCACCTATGCAGCAACCCTGCATGACCTGCACATGTACCCCCTAACCTAAAGTTAAAAAAAAACAAAAAAACAATGGGTATTACACTATTCGCTGAAGTACAGACTTTATTATGATCTCAATACTTTTTCCTGTATCGTCTTTTTTCAGTCCCAGGATCCTATCCAAGATCCCACAATTTGTGAATTGCATTTAGTTGTCACAGCTCCTTAGTCTCCTCCAGCCTCGCACATTTCCTTAGTCTTTCATTATTTTCTATGACCTTAAGAGAGTATTTTGAAGAGCACTGATCTGCTATTTTGTAGCATGAGTACTAGTCTCATGTCTGTCCACTTGGGTTTAACTGATGGTCAATTAAGACTATGTGTTTTTTGTGTGTCCTTCAGTGAATCCTATCAAGGGTTCTTGATGCTGATACACAATCCATATGATATTAATGGCTGTTTTGGTTGTTTGTATACACAAATTTTATACCCCCCTATAACTTCTTAAGCCTGGATGTAAATAAATTTTTATTCATTTATTGATTTAACAATAAGAAATATGAAACTCCACCACTCTTAAATCTTAATAAGTGCAAAGAGTAAAATTATATATTCTTTATCTAAGAAGGATACTGAAGTATGAAAAGGAGAAAATAGAAATTTAAAAGGGGGCTGTTTCAAATCATGTAACTAACATGAAGTTTCTTTGCACAGGGAATGATTGTATTTGCAATTAATAACATCGTCTTTCAAAAGCTTAGTGGAAACACAAAATGAATGACAAAAGTAGACATGAAAATGTCTTACATATGTTTGTGAAAAGATACCCGACGATGTTTATACTGAAAAGATACTGTAGATGGTATTACCTATTTATTCTTTACAACTGGCCTGTGTATAATTTTGCCACATTTTGTGTACAAAACCCCTAAAACATGATTGTACAATTTAATAAATCTATTTTCTTACTAATTTACCTAATGCACATAAACATTCTTTGCACACTTACTTTTGTACCTCTAGGAGGTATACCTATTATAGATACCCTTCCTAATTAATCCCTCTTGCTTTTGTTCTGCTTTGTAGAAGTTAGGCATAAACCAGAAAGACAGCAGGACATTGCATTCCCAAAGGTGAGATAAGATGAAGAGCTTTCTTGCTTCTATTACGTTAGATTTGTGCCACATTTACTAGAATGTAATTTGAAACAATTAAGCAAGCAGTTAACAAATCCTGAAAGTGAAAGAATGCCCTGAAAGGGGAGGGAGAAATAAATGAAAAAGGCAATCAAAAAACAAATACTCAGCTGTGAGTTTAGGAACAGCAAGGAACTCTGTCACTGCATTGAAAGTTAGTAAGGCGGGTTTGCTGGGTCAGACATACTACAACTCAAAGTTTCAAACACACATCTTAACTTGGGAAATGAATTTGTGTTTCGGAAAAAATAAAGTTAATATTTTAAAAACTGCTGATCCCCAGATCAATTAAATTAAAATAACAAAATATATTCAGAGATAAAATATGAAATAGCAAAACTGTAGCAAAAAATAATTATAAAATTCTTTTTTCAATATTCCACTTGTAATAATGGATAGAATATTCAGATAGATCATCAGTAAGGACATAGAAGACTTGAACAACACTATAAGCCAGAAAGACTTAACAGACATACAAAGCATACCACCCAACAATAGCAGAATACATGTTTTTCTTAAGTATGCATGAAACTTTCTCTAAGATAGATCTATGTTAGGCCCCAAAATAAGTCTTAATACATTTAGAAAGATTCAAGGCATACAAAGCATCTTTTCTGATCAAAATGGAAACTAGAAACAGAAGGAAAACTGGAAAAGTTAAATATATGTGGAAATTAAACAACATACCTTTCGTTTTCTAAATTCAAGACTTCATTACAGCTTTATTCACAGTAGCCAAAACCAGGTAAAAATCCAAATAAATGTTCATCAACAAGTGAACTGCAGTCCATCCATAATTCTTACATCATGAATGTTATATTAAATTTAGCCTAAAGCTGCCTCCTTACATATTTTAAGTTCTTCCTAAAGTTTTTCTGTATATAGTGAACTGTAACCTAACCGGATCTGTCAATGGACTGTGACCTACTCTTGTGCCAATTACAGATTTTCAACCAATTACAAGCTGCCAACTGGTCAACTCTTTTCAAATAAGGCAAACATGGAGCTGTAACCGCCCCAGCAATTTCTGTACCTCACTTCCATTTTCTGTGCATCTTTTTTTTCTGTCCATAAATCTTCTCCAACCATAGTGCAGCACTGAAGTCACTCAACCTATTCTGATTGATTTGTGGGCTGCTCAATTCACCAATTACTCTTCGTTCAATTAAACTCTGTTAAATTTAATTTGTCCTAAATTTTTCTTTTAATTTGAGGTACATTTCACATTTTCCTATTTTCTATTTGATAACCTAAAAGAACAAAGCTCCAAGGAGAAATTCTTTAACTTGTGCAATAATTTATATTTTTTAAATGAAAGCCTGATGTTATTGCTGATTCCATTTCTTTTTTGTATATATTTTATCATATACACTTTCAATGCAAATCTTAGTCAAAAATCAAAAGACAATTGCAAAAGGTTGTAAAGATACCTGTCAATCAGATGTCCACCTTCTTCTGCAAGTTTGTCAGCGAAGATGAAGAACAAAACTTCTTTTGTTATTTAAAAGTCAGTGAAGGTGGCTGGTGACTCTGCTGTGTTCTGGTCAGCGGCATTGTGTTCGGGCCTGGACGAGGGTATTCAACATGCCTTTAACAAACAAAATTCCAAGTAACGTTAAAATTTTTGAAGCTGTTTAATAAATGATGGAAAAAGACTAGAACTGTAATAACTGTCTCAAAATATCTGAAGCATTGTCAGGTGAAAGAGAGATTTGATTCATTCTCTGAGACTCTTGGAAAAAAAACCAAACAGGTGAAATTTGCAGAAAGGATGATATTGGTTCATTGTAAGAAACGACTGTCTGATAATTATTTTCCCTGAAGAATTTGTCTAGCTTTCAAGAGAGATGGTATATTTGACATCACTAGGTATGTACAGAAAAGGGTGATGACCTCTTATTATGGCTGTCACAGAGATACTCATCCATCTGGTGATGTTATGCCAAATAATCTTCATGTTTCCTAATATCTCAGGGACTGTATATATGTAAAATAGTTATGTAAAACAAGTAAGTAGAATATTTAAATACCATAAATGTGTTTCCTTTTTTTTATAAAGCTCTTAGTCCATTATGTTGTAAGTTGATGAATGAATATATATGAAACTATCCTACAGCTTCTGTTTTAAACCTCAGGATTTTATTAGTAGTTATCAGGGTATTATGTAAAAGCTAGATATCTAGATAGATGTAGAAAGTTACTCAGTTATATATACATATATATGTACACATAGGTAGATAGATAGAGGCTAAGACAGTAAATAAAACAATAAAAAGTAAGTATTTTAATTTATACTTTACATGGCTTTAAATTACAAAATCATTTTTGCTGAAGCACATACAGGCCTTAAATAAAATGAACCCATATTCTTTTTTTTTTTTTTTTTTCCAGGCTGCAGTTTAAAATGGTGTGATCTCAGCTGATCCTCCCAGGTTCAAGTGATTTTCCTGCCTCAGCCTCCCCAGTAGTTGGGATTACAGGCATGCGCCACCACATCCAGCTAATTGTGTATTTTTAGTAGAGATGGGGTTTCTCCTGGTTGGTCAGACTGGTCTCGAACTCCCAACCTCAGGTGATCTGCCCACCTCAGCCTTCCAAAGTGCTGGGATTACAGGCATGAGCCATCATGCTCATACTAACGTTTAAAAAAAAAAAACCTTAAAATTATATTTCCTAAATAAATGTTACTGTTAATAACCAAATTCTTTATGATAATTTTTAGATAGGGTCAGAGACAGTTGATTTTCTGTGAGGAATTTATTTCTATTAAATCTATTCTGTTTGTATTGTTTTTGAATGTTCACAGACTGATTCTGTTTCCTTCACTGCTATCTCTGGAAAAAGGAGTATCAGAGAATACAAACAGCTGATATAGAAAAAAAAAGTAAGGAAAGGGCATTTTCTTCAAGTCTTATTATAGCAGCCTCTTTGGTATTTTGTTTCCTCATTTATTGAGGATGGATGGGAGTGAGGCCTGGAGCTGCCCTACAAGGGACTGGAACCTTCAAACAATTAAAATAGTATAGTATGATTGGGGCCAGATTTAAATTAAAGACAGACAAAGAGAGAATATAGATTCCAGCAGATACGTAATGAACCAGCAATATACTGTGTCAGAACTGGTGAATACATGTGATACATATAAGGCAGTAGGAAACAAACCAGCCTGCAGAGGTAAGACAACTAAGAGAAATCTTTCCAACTGTGTAAGATGTAGAGGAAGGGGTCTTCTAAAACTGCCATTCTCAGCTACCCATCCAAATATTGAAATGAATAGGAGTAAAAGAAGAGGAGCTATGACTAAACTTGCTGAACATTACGTCACCAAGGCCCATCTTCTCCAAAAGCCAACTCTCCTATTTATGTGACTATCTATGCTAGATGATGATGATGATGATGGTGATGATGATGATGATGACGATTAAAAAATATACTTCCAGATAAGCCTATGGAAGAGTGGTTTTCATTTGAGAATGCTTTCTTATTGCTGTCATGGGTAATATAAAAACCCCACAATACACTCTTCCTAAAAAGGAGATTAAAAAAACGAAGTAGGCTAAGAATCCATTCCCAATGACTCTTAGGTGGGGAGTAGTGGGAATTTGATGTTTTTAGCATTTGAATGGTATACTATTCAACAAAAAACATTTTTAAGCACCTAAATGTATCCATCTCCTCCCAACCATTCTCCACATTGGACCCAGAGGCAGCACTCTAAACTGTACAGGTGATTAAGCCACTCTTTCCTGTTCCACTCTTCAAAGCCTTCCCCCGGCCATAGCATTTCAGACCCTCTCCAGCCTCATTTCTTACCACCCTTCCTTTTGTACGATGCTATCTGGGTGCTCTGGACAGCTTTTGAGTTGTCCTTCCTTAACATGGTCTCTCACATTTACATTTTTGTACAGCCTGTGCCCTCAGGACGAGACGTTTCTCTGCCTTTGGTGTGTCTAACTCTCACTTACCTTTTAAGATTCTGTTTGTGTCTCCCTTTCCAGGATTTTTCAAGTCTCTCTCCACTGGATTAGATAGGTGTGCCATGTGCTTCCAAAGGCCCCTGTACTGTGCTTTTCCTGCAAAGACACTTAACACTTTATTATTTGCTCTATGTATTAGTCTATCTTACCTGAAAAAAATATAAACTCTGTGACACACAGAATGCCATACCTTCAGTACATAGCACAGGGCTTGATACATAATTGGAATACTAAAAACATTTATTGAAAGAATGAATAAATGGATTTAGTGGAGAACCGGGATGGTACTGGGCGACTATATTTTATCAAGGATGTGTAAGGCATTACCCTGTTTCCTACAAGGGCTACGAGAATGACCCATTTTGCAAAAAGAGGAACAGAGGCAGAATATTTGATGCTGCTTCTAAATCACACAATTTGTTTCTGTGGAGATGCCCTCCCCTCAAATTGAGATTTATTTTAACCATGTTGTCACAGACAAAAACACCATCTACTGGATTAGATTCCCAAAAAGAAGAGGAAAAAGATATTAAATGTATCAATATAGAAACAAGATATAAGTGTAGTTCCTCCAGAGGTTTTACTTTCATTAACTAACTTACCGAGGAAAAGTATTGCACAAATAATCCATGGGTATAAAATGATCTTGGTATTTGGAAGAAACTAAGACAAGGACTGAATTTGCCTAGAGGCATTTCCAGATTAACCTATCTATACCATGTTGCTCCAACGGAATTAAAGGCATCGGAGGAAATAGATATGCCCAAAACCTGATTTTCAATCTCTTGATAGTTTATCAGTTCTCTGGCATCATCAGGTTTTTGTGATTAAGCAAACCAGGCTCGCTCACACATAAGATCTATAAAAAGACAGCCTCTCGCATTTCAGCACACTGGCGCTCCACGTGTAAAAATGAAAGGAGAGCACTCTGATTAGCATAAACCAAACCAAACACTGCCCTCTGGCCTCACTCTGCTGAGACTAAAAAGATCCTATCAGCCTTTTCAGGTTATCCCCTCCATAGGACTTTGGACGCTCTTCCGTTTCTGCAGCTGGTTAACTTTTATGGTATAATCTGAGATTAAATATAGAAAAGAAGAAAAAAAAAGAATTTCAAGAAGTGTACTCAAAACATAATAGTCCCACTAGGAAGCATGCAACACTTAAACCTTGAACACCAATGGCCATGCACAACACTACCATGGCCTGAGGAATAAATCAAACACACAGGGTTGTGACTATTATTTGTATACCTAAAAGTCTCCCTGGTGAAAGATAAGAATCTACCTTTTAGTTTTTATAGAAATGCAATAGGAAAGGATAGCCTTAAAGTTCTAGTGGAGGGAAGAAAAAAAGAACAATTAACATATGTTTACAGCAATCTATTACAATGTCATGATGCCATAGCATATTTGCACCCAGCAGTGTATGGCCAAGTATTTAGGATCTTTTTAGGCTGAAGTTCACCATGAACACTTACACATTGTGGCTTTCTCCTGAGGGTGTTACTGCATTACCATTTGAATTCTCGTAGAAACTCTTAACTTAGAACAGTAAGCCTGTTGCACCTCCAGCTCTTATTCAGTCTTCTGATTGTCACAGAGAGATGTTTTTTAGCCTTGCCTTTTCCTTTCATCGAGGGTGGTCACAATGTGTTAAGAGCCGCGAGTTCAGGGTGTCTGGCTGTTGAATATCTTCCTCTCCTGATATCAGTCGAGTTGTTTCCATTTATCAGCTGTGTGACCTTGGGCAAATCCCTTGACCTTTCTGTGTCTCCCCTTTCTCTTTGGTAAAATGGGAACAGTTATAGGCCTTACCTCAGAAAATTGTTGTAGGAATTGTTATGAAGCAATCAATGAGCTTCCTACCCTATGGTCATAGAGGCCAATACCACAGCACCAATTTTTGAGGAAAAAAAAATGGTTTACTGCAAGTCTACTGGCAAGGAAACAAGAGGAAATACTCAAATCTGGATCCGTGGGCTAGGGGCTAGGTGGAGCTCTATAAGCATAGGATAATGAGGTGTTACCTGATTGGATCTTGCAATAGGTGATGCCAGGGGGCATGATCCAACTGGATCCTGCCACAGGGTGACCCCAGGGCTCAATCTGATTGGATCCTGGATTCTGCCACATGGTGTCCACCACTTAAATTGGTCCCCGCTCTTCCACTGGAACAGTTAGGTTCCCCCTGTGGTTGTATGCTTGGTGCATTTGGGCCGGCTGAGGTTATATGATCTTGAACTTGGGGGTCCATGGCAGCTGAAAAACAATTCACAACTTTGTTACATAAAAATTGAGCCAGATTGGTCTGGTGCAGTTACAGAATGAATAAGATTTAGAACCAAGTCTGGCACATGAGGAAGAGCTAGAGACGGGTTGCTAGTATTTCCATTCTCACAAATCAGACTATATGATTTAGGAAGGAGGAGCGATGTTCCTTCTCTCAGAGATTCAAAACCCTGTTCTCATGACACCAAACTTATCTCCTCTCAATGCTCTCAGACTTTCACTTAATCTGAACTAGCTTCATATTTACCTATATTTATAACAATCATTTTCTTAAACAATGAATTCCATTTCTAAACTACTTTCAGAATGCAACTTATTAAAATCAGGGACTGCCCTCTGAGCTCTCCTAGCTGACATTTAGCATGGTATGTGGACTAAGAAAGACGGAAGAAGAGAAACATTTTATAGCAGCATCAGGCCATTTAATTAGTATAAACATTTAGGAAAATTACTGGGAGTGAATCTGACAGTATGCTTTGTGCATGAGTGGTTTTCACTAACTCTACCAGTTTCTACACAACAGTTTGCTTCCCTAAGCAAGTGGGCAAGTTACTTATTTAACCTTTGTCCTTATTCTAATCAAAAGCAGCAGAAAGTCCGGCACGGTGGCTCACGCCTGTAATCCCAGCACTTTGGGAGGCCGAGGCGGTCAGATCACGAGGTCAGGAGCTCAAGACCAGCCTGGCCAACATGGTGAAACCCCATCTCAAAAANAAAAAAAAAAAAGAAAGAAAATGAAAAAAAAAAAAACAGTGGAGATGCATTTGGTTAAAACCTTCTGATTAATAGATGAACACTTTGAAGCACTGCTCATGATTTTCGTTCCTCGTAAATAAATATATAATAAATAGAGGAATAAAATCTCAATTGTGTCCTGGGCAATGTTTAATTCAATGGAATGCAAATTTAATATGTTCTATGGATAATTTCATGTTTTTATCTTAAATTTTTTTTAACTTTTCGGTTCAGGGGTACATGTGCAGGCTTGTTATACAGGTAAACTGAGTTACCTGGGAGTTTGGTGTAAGATGATTTTGCCAGGCAGGTAATAAGCATAGTACCTGTTCCACTCCCTCCATTTCCCCCTTAGTATGTCTCTTGGGAAGAAGCGATGTGGTACTCTGAGAAAAGTATGACTTCTGGATTTTGTAGACCTACATTTGAATTCTGTTTCTGCAACTTGGCAGCTGTGGGAACTTGGGAAATTTGCTTAGCTTCTCTAAGTTTGTTTCCTAAAGAATGAAATAGATACAAAAATAGCCCATGGCACACACCTGGGCCAGTGCCTGATGTCGGTGCTTCAGACATTTTTGTTCTTCTTTCCTTTGCTTTCCTCTTTGGGGGAATTGAAGTGGAGGTCCCAAAGGGTTACATGTGGGCAGAGCACTGGCTGCTGCATGGCTCCCAGGGCTGTGCTTTCATGTCACTAACCTAGGACTGGAAAAAAACAAACAAACAAACAAAAAAAACCCTTCAGGTTTCACACTCTTCCAGTCTGTTTCAATACTCCCTGATGCCCCTTTCAAAGCAGAGCATCTCATTCCCACTCACCTCAAACCTTTCTCAGAACTCGGAATATGCATTATCTATTTCCTCTTCTACCCAGACTAAAATTGTGTCTCTGCCACTTTTTGCTGTGTGACATTGGGCAAGTTACTTAATCTCACTGTGCCCCCATTGCTTTGTCTATAAAATAGGAATAACAGAAAGACCTAACCCGAGGTTGTTCGGGGAATTATAGGAGTTCTAAAAGAAAATAAGAAAAAAATATTTGCCCAGTTGCCTTGATGTTTATTTGAAATGAATAAATATTTTTGATCAAATTTCATCTTTAGAATGTAAGCTCCATGAGGGTAAGAAATTTAATCTGTCATGCTTACTGCACAATCCCCAGAGTCTGGAATTTTTTTGTTTAGTGCTCACTCAGAGTTAGTGACTATCTCATATATGAGAGTTATGCCCTAGATACATAGAAGTTTATTCATTCATTCATTCTTCCACTCAGCATATATTTATTTAGAACCTACCAAGTGCACATGGATGACTGACTGAATATATGAATTAATGAAGTTTTCTCAATATCAGAATTTAGGAGGTCTCGCATTTCAATTTATTGATACTTTGAACTAGCTAGACTCAAAGTCTGACAGACCCTAGGATTATATTTTAATGCTCATTCAGAATTAATGATTACTTCGAATATAAAACATATGCACCAAAGTTGAACAAATGCAAATTATAACATTCTAAAAAATACAGCTAGTATTTGTATTTCAGAGATCACAATCAACAAGATCTAGTCCAGATGTATCTGAATCTATATCTAAATATTTCACATCTACTTAAACTTGAATTGTGGAAAGCTGTGATCCTAAGACATTAAACTTGAAAATTCTTATAAAAGATCAGTGATTAGTGTAAAACATTAACAAACCACTGTAATTATCCAAACTCTTAGGGACCTGAACTTATGACAACTCTTTCTTAACTCTGGGATTTTCACTCTTCAGTTAGTTCTAGAGCTTATTATGAGGAAATATGTACACATGAGCTTAGGGGAGAAATTTTTTGGAAAAGTACTATTGTCTTTTCTTCAGTCTTCTTATTGAGGAAAAAAAAATGGTTGTTATAGATCCTACATTTATGTAGAGTATATTTAATGAATTACAGCTTGGATTGTGTCCTGTGATGTCAACGCTGTGTGTTTTGATAGCGATAGTTTCTATTGCAATCACAGAATTATTTTGCATTAACCACTTTAAATAGGAATTATAAACTTTAGGTACAACATTTTTGTTTAACAAAGCTGAAAGCACTAAAAAAGCTAGTAATGAGTGTTTATTTAATATTTAAGTAATTTTAACTTAAAATATAGTCTATAGCTGGTGTTCTAAATTGATTAACATTTGTTGTTATTCTTCAAACCTGCCCATCTTTACCTAAAACATTTCAACAGATGTTTTGATTACCACATTAAAATAAAATTAAGTGAGTTTGATATGCATGAACCTTGCAACCTTACAGAGTTACAGATTTAAAATATGACCCTGGGAACTAACTTTGTTTTGACTCTGAATTTTTTGTATGTAGTTGCCCCCCCAAACTTTACTCCCATCTTTGTGTGTAGGTTAAAAGAAATTTTATCAGTTAAAAGACACTTCATGAAAAATGATTTGGCATTCATGTAGGGCTGAGAAACCCACGGATAAATATTTAAAAGGCTACTAAGCAAAACGGCCCTGATTAATCTTGTTTTAAACTAGCTACTTCAATAGCTAATCTCTACTTTTTATATCTGTTACATTTTATGCCAATCAAAAAGTCTTCCAAATCATAACTTTTAACAATCTGAAAATGTTTGTTCCTAGCTTTTTAAAATTAGCACTGACTCTAGTATCTCTGACACTACAAAACTAGTACCAGCCAACATGTGCAAGATCAACATTTTAATGATATGTAGTTTTCTGGCCAATTCTTTCCTTTTTTCTTCCTTCCTCTTCTCCCCTCCCCTCCTCTCCCCTCCCCTCCCCTCCCCTCCTCTCTCTCCTTCCTCCATCCCTTCTTTCCTTTCTACTTCTTTCCTTTTTTCTTTCTTTTCATTTTCCTTCCTATTTTTCACTTTCCCTTCCTTCTCTTCCCCTACCTCATCTCTTTTCTCTGTAATGTCCTCGTTATGTGAGCAAATGATTAAACCGTGGAGACAGTCAAATCACAGAAGTGATCAAAGAGCCACAAGGATCTTGATTTCCTCCTTAGAGGTCTGGAGAATTGGCTTAGTCTCTTGCAGAAAACTGTTTTCTAGGTTGGATTAGCTTCACATACTTGGGCACAACTTGAGTTCTACTTCCAATAAGAGGACAATCCGGGCCAGGTTGCTGTGCACTTGTCTCCTTACAGATTTTCACAATGCCTCTGTGATAGCCAATGGCCACAGAAAGTTCTATAATCCCTAGCTATGAATTGGAACTGTTTTTTTAGATTAATGAACAACATGAAGTAGTGAATTGCATCTTAGGTGGCACAAAGGATTCATTTAATTAGCCCTTAAATGTAAAAGGTTGTGCACCACAAATCTGCTATGCATTGAAACCCAGTATGTGTATAAGCCTTCTCAGAAACAAAAAGAATAGAGAGTGGTGAATTGTTTTCCAGGAGAGAAATCTTGCATCTTTTTGGAATAAACACGTTTTGAGTATCTAACACCAATTTAGTCTGGGCACAGACATTATTTCTAAACTGAACATGTTTTTGTTTGAGTGAATAAAGCATAGAATTTCACAGAATTTTCCAGCTACAGAATTTTCCAGAAACTGGTGTGTATTTCTTCCACAAACTCAAGGCCTTTCCTTTCAAATTATCTGTCTGTGTGGATGATTTGTTTTGTGCAAAGTACCTCATGAGGGAAGAGGTAAGAGTATAAAGCTGTGTGGTATACAACCAGACAGTTCTTACCTGTAAGGATCTTACATAAGCAGATAAACTGGCTACCCAAACAATCATGGTGGAAGCTGTAGTCTTGCAGTGAGCTCTTCTAGGATCCTCTAGAAGTGATCCAACCTTTGTAGGTTGGATCAACATTGTTCTCTGTCCTCCTTCTGCAGGGGTCTGGGGATAGTGTTGATAAAGTTTATAAAAGTTCTTGCTATTGCAATTGCAATTTGTCTTAATTTACTTGATCTATATTCTGCTAATGTATTGTCAGTGCTCAACACACACACAAACACACACACACACACACACACACACACACACAACCCTTTGGGGAAGAATAGGCATCACACCTTCCAGCTGATCAGCTTATAGGAACAACATTATCATGCTTGATAGAATGTCCTCAATGTGTGCAAAATGAATTTATATTTTGTCTCATTTTGTTATGCAGGCTTCCTAATGCTTTTTAAACATGATGTCATCATAAAAACATGTGTATACACGTACCTCTGCAGAAAACACTAAAATTAAATTAACTTGCTGGCTAAAGTTAGAGAAAATCCTTTTCTAGCTTCTCTGTACCACTCAATAAATTATTACAGTCTGTGCACAAAACACAAATTACATGCTTTATTAGTATGTTCTGTGGTAACCCCAAAACCACAAGTGTTTACATGTGCTGCACGCATGCACTTTGGGGCTTTTTAATAGCGGGTTGACAAGAGATTAAAGGCAGAAATATGGCATTTTATTAAAGCAAACATATCAGCATGCCTACCATGATAAAATGATCTAGTTTTCTTCAGACACAAAAGTTTCTGTTGAGTGATACCTTCGAAATTCCTTGAGGGCACCCTATTATTCACTTTCCTCAACACAGAGCAGCTGCAAATGGTCTCCAATTTTCAAAGAGTGTTGCCTGGTCATTCTTTACTGTCAAAATGAAGAAGAGCATAAAAGTTAAGTCAATAAAGTAATATGAAATGCTTAATATAAAAATTCAAGAATGAATGATTAACCATTAAAAACTTACAGTAGCTATTTCATCCAGGAAAAAAAAATTAACATTTCCCCTGAAACCTATTAACACTCCTTGTAAACAATATTCTTTTTTGAAATATATGACCTTTCCTAATGCTCTCCATACACACGGCATTTTTCTTATATCCACTTTACCTCACTGATATGAAGTTTAATTCCCCGGGAGAGAGTGCTTCGAGCCCCTTCCTCAGAAATATGTGGTCTTCTCCTGTATATTCAAAACGGATGCCCTCATTTTGTGTTAGATGATGTAACAACCTGTTGTTGTTAATACAACTTCAAAATTACAAACTTTGCCAGTGGACAATCAACAGGCCAAAGGTACCGCCTATCTTGGGGCCCACACTTCCTAGTCAATCTATAAAATTTGATACCTTGATAATTATGGAAATTGATATCCATACCTCTCTGTTCTGGGTTGCACCCATCTTTCATCTGTGTCTGCTGTATCTGTGGATGTTGTGTAGAGGGCCTTGTGCAGAGGAAAATAGAGATAAAAGATTTTTTAAATATATTTTTCAAGGAAGATATTTAAAAGAGCAGGGTTGAGTTTAGTCTAGGACTTTTTTTCAAAATTAAATCAGAAAAAAAACAAGAATATTCAGGACCTATCCTACAGTAAATCCCTCCATACCATGATATTGCTAAGGAAAATAACACTTTGTGCATAAAACATGCTAAGAATGATTTTGATTTTAAAAAATTGTAAAGTGATATAATTGGGGTCGAAAAGACTGCTCTTTGAGGTTGCCAAATGTTTTCCCCACAAGTTTTGAGCTGTTGGAGAAGCCTCCATCATGCAGTCCTCCAAAAGCCATCACCAGGGTGTTGTCCACTGGTTAACTGAGGAATTAGTGGGTATGACTTGTTTCTGGGAATAAACCTCAGATTGTATGAATTTTAAGTATTCCTGTAAATATCTCAGAGAATTTATTTGTTTGAACAGATACTGTGAACTGTCATTTCTCAGATGTTTTCTTCCAGAAATTGGACAGAGATGTTCAGCCTGCTCCTAGTAAGGAGACAGGAAACATACTGACTGGTGGCTTTATTGCTTTTTTATTAAGAATTGTCTAGTAACTAAGAAGCATTCTGCTCTTGAGGAAAACCTCAAAACAAAGGATACAAGAAAAGAAGTAACTAAAGAATATATAGCACTTTCTGGACTATAATTATCAAATCCTTTAGGTAGGTGTAGATAAAAAGTGAAACATCCCCTATATAGTATTTGTTTGCCATATGTTGATATTTTTTAAATGAAACAGTAGAGTCCCCTCATAAAACCCACAATCTTCACATAGATGAGCCTGGCCTTCCCATTTCTGCTCTATAAGACTAATGCTATGACATTCTCTGGTTAAAGGCTGGGAAGTGGAGAAGATCAGTGTGGGGAGGGTCTCTTTGTATCCTCTTCTATCAGCCATTTCAATGCAATTTTGAAAACATAAATTTTAGGCTGGGCACAGTGGCTCACGCCTATAATCATAGAACTTTGGGAGGCCAAGGCAGGTGGATCATGAGGTCAGGAGATCAAGACTATCCTGGCTAACATGGTGAAACCCCATCTCTACTGAAAATACAAAAAATTAGCCAGGCATGGTGGTGCGTGCCTGTAATTCCAGCTACTGGGGAGGCTGAGGCAGGAGAATTGTCTGAACCCAGGAGGCGGAGGTTGCAGTAAGCCAAGATGGCGCCACTGCACTTCAGCCTGGGTGACAGAGCAAGACTCTGTCTCAACAACAACAACAACAACAACAAAAACAACAAAGATAATTTTTGTATAAATACCCATTTTTCATGTATTTGACTCATTAAAACACTTCTGAAGAAGATATATAATTTCTGGTAGATTTTAGTTACATTTACGTACGTGTGTGTGTGTGTGTGTGTGTGTGTGTGTGTGTGTGTGTGTATTTTTGGTGTTACTGGCATAAGTTGTGCTACATAATATAGGAGATTAAAACTAATTATAGCAGTGAGGCTAACAGTGTGAGAGCCACGAATCTGAAGGAAACTTTCCATTTCTCTCTATAGGTTTTATAAAAACTCTGATAACATTTTCTCCCAAAATATGTGGTTTTTAAATTTTAATTTGTTCACAAGCCAAATACAGCATCATGATTACTTTTATGTTACATGACTAATTTATAAATTTTTGCAAATGACATCAATTTCTTTTGTCGTTTGCCTATTCTTGTCCTTTTTGCTTCCCTCCACAAACATCCAATATATATTATATGTCTTTATACACACACATATGGATCATGGTTCTAGGTATGACATACAAAGAGGCAGATTAAACTTCATTCCTGACCTCAGAAATTACAATTCAATTTGTAAGCATCATGATAAGGTTAAGTAAAAGGTTATGTAAAGTAATTTCCAATTGTTTATTGTTTTACGCCATAGCACAATAAGTGACTACCATATGTTATCTAATTCAAACCTCTGGAACTGAGAAAGATATAAACATGGTCTTTGAAAATTTCCATATTGGAGGACAGACATTCAAAGAGAAATCTACAAAAGAGATCAGGAACAAATAGACAGAGAGGAAGAAATAGAAAGCTATAGTGTCAGTGTCATTCAACCCAGAGGTAAATAGTAAGTAATGCCAAGTGTCATGGAAAAATCAAGGATCAGGCTGGCTGTCGTGGGTCACACCTGTAATCCCAGCACTTTGGGAAGCCAAGGTGGGTGGATCACTTGAGCTCAGGATGAGCTCACTTGAGACCAACTTGGCCAACATGATAAAGCCCAATCTCTACTAAAAACACAAAAATTAGTGGGGTGTGATGGCACATGCCCACAGTTGCAGTTACTTAAGAGGCTGCAGCAGGAGAATTCCTTGAACCTGGGAGGCAGAGAGGTTGCAGTGAGCCGAGTTCATGCCACTGCACTCCAGCCTGGGCAACAGAGCTAGACTCCGTCTCAAAAAAATAAAATAAAATAAACAAGGATCAATATGGTTAATAAGCAATGATTTGGAGAAAGACACCAGGATTAAAATTTAAGAAAGGAATGGAATGCAATTATTTAATTAGTCGTGGCAAGACGAATGCAGATATTTATCTCTGTTCTCTTACAAAATTTTATTAGAATGACAGTAAAGGGATTAAAAAGGAAAACATTACAAAATAAAAAAGCACTGAAGAAAAAAATTGTAGCAGATGAAAGATTTCAAGACTACTCAGGAAAATGGAAAGTTGATAGCTATGTGACAGCAAGTTTAAGTATCAGCCCCTCCACTCTATTCAGGGTCAAGCAAGAAGCAGGTCAATTTTCACCAAACAATTCCAGAATATCTCAAAAATTAGAGACAGTGAGTACATATAAAGGAAAGGACAAAGGATGGGAATGAGAAAAGGGGAATTGATAATACCCCATGATCTCACACTCATATGGGGAATCTAACTGAGTTGTTTGTAGGAGTAGAGGTTAGCAGAGGCTGGGTGGGGGGGATGTGGGATGTGGCATGGTGAACAGGTATAAAGTTAAGAGTTAGCTAGGAGGAATAACCTCTGCTCTTCTATTACACAGGAAGGTGACTATAGTTAACAATAATGTATTGTATGTTTCAAAATAGCTAGAAGAGAGGATTTTTAATGTTCTCGCAACAAAGAAATGACAAATGTTAGAGATGATGGATGTCCTTATGCAAGGATGATGTGATCCTTATGCAACACATACATGTATCAAAACATCACACTGTACCCCAAAAGTATTTACAATCACTATGTATCAACTAAACACAAAATAAAACTTAAAAAGAAAAAAAAAAAAAACTCATACACTCCAAATGCTCTCTCCTATCTGATAAGGAACTACATTTCTGCCACCCTATGGGAGATGGAACGTTTAGAACCAGAGAAACTCTGGGCTCAGAAGCATCAGACAGAGTTGAACCTAAGAGTGAAGCACCAAAAAAAGAGAGAGTGAACTCCCTTTCTTAATCAACTAAGAATCCCCCCACCTCCTACGTACTCACCTCTAGCGTCCTCAGAGCCCTAACAGCCAGGTCGACTACTTTTAAACTGTCTTCCTTACCATCTCACCCTGCCATCTGAAATTTCATTTTAAATCATGTGGCATATGTAAGGAGAAACTGCATTAACTAAAATGGCCCAAAGTAGTACATGTCTCCTATGATCTGTAAACAAGGCAGAGAAAAGCAGGGAAGAGTAAAGACTGCACCAATTGTCAAGATCAGAATGATAGCATGTAACAGAATCAGAAAATGATGTATTTATTTAAAAATCAGACTAAACATATATTTTGAGTGTGACATCATGATGGAACTGACTAAAGTTGGGTCAGCATCAGACACTGACATAATGGTTCCTGTCACAGGATATTTGACCTTAGAGAACACTTGAGTACTTACCAAGGATATGAACCCACCTTGAAAGTCCCATGGTGAGATGTGTGTGATTAACACTAGGACTTTGTAATTTAACTGGAAATGGATTTTAATCAGGTGGTAATATTATGGGTCACACTCAAATGCTCTCGTATAAGAAAGTTTAGAAAGATTTAGACTTTTTTTCTCTATAGTAGGTACAGATCATAGATTCTATCTTGGACTAGCGTGTCTCTTGGGTGCTCGGTAGACATTGCTGCTCTTCTGATAGATAGAGAAAATGAGGTTACAAAATTGCTCTACTACCACTTACTCTTAGATGGAACAGGTAAAAATCCTTGGGGAAATCATGTTAATGGGCTATAGGTTTTCCTGAATTTCGCTATATGCTTGGAAAAAGAGTTAGAATGCAAACTTTAGATTTGAGCAACACCCCCATTTCATTTCTTATAATAGCACTGTGGTTTGGTGAGATATTTTTAAATTTGGAAAAGCAGAGCTGTAAAATATGTCTTTTTAAAGAAATGTATTCACTAAAAAGCAATTTATTTTCCTCGAAACATAACACATTTATGTATATGAGCATCATGAGAAGTTGATATTGGTACTCAATATAGACTTTTTGATAAAGGGATGCTTTGAGACAGAAAAGTTTCTTCTTGGTGGTCAAGACAAATTCTTATCTTGCAAGAGCATGAAAGCATGTTTAAATTCTATAAACAATATAGTACAGAAAGAGTCAAAAGAAATTTGTTGATAAAGAGAGGTGAAATAAACAGAAACTAATAAAAATGAGGGAAACATGTAAACATTTACAACCTGTTTACAACTTCCTCTTAAAACTGCTTATTCAAGCTCATTCATTATATTAACAGAAAAAGGACAGAGACCATGCTTTTGTCATTTGTCTAACATGAAAATTCATTAGCATGTCATTAGTATGTGGCAAAGTTTAAATTTTCCACTCATAAGCACATAGCTTGGGTGGCCTTTCAGCACACCAGCAATCTGTTCTGAAATTGTGTGAACACTCCTGTATTTAAATTCCTGAACTATTCTTTCCTGAAATATTTGCTTGAATATAGAATACCCATTACCACTGACTGTGGAAGACAGTCACCCTCCTTAAACCCCTCAGTTAAGGACTTACAATGAAATGCCTCGTTAAGAACCTTAATTTAAAGCAGCACACAGTTCTGTATGTCAAAGGTAATAATTACCTTCTTTAATGAGCCTGACTTTTCTCTGTGATGAATAAGGCTCCCACCACTTTGTTTACAGTAACTCTGGAATTATTTCAGGCTTTCTTCAAGGGCTCCTATTTTAAAAAAAAAATAAAAATTATGTCTGTTTTTCTGGGGTCAAATTCTGCCTACTCTATACTGAAACCATGTGCTGTTCAAGCACTGCTAAAACCAATTACCCATATATTCCTGGGACGTGCAGGGGCCTATAGAAGTCATATCATCCATATCCTAGCTTCTAAGCAGAGCTACAGATAAATTATGTCAGCCTCAAAAAGGCCTACCCTACGATTTTAAATAACTTCCATGTGAATTATAGCTATCCAAAATGTCCCAGCAAATTAAACAATAAAATTGAAAAGCTCTTGAACAAATTGATTTTATAGATACTATTATAATCTTAAGAACTTAAGATCTATGTTTGCAGGCTCAGGAGGGCTTGAAGAGTTACACCCAAGTATATGAGAACTTATGTGGCAACTTGCTTTAATTATAATATTGGCATTTCTTTCCCCTATCTTATATCTTATCAGCTACCCATAATATGATTCCCAAAATCGATTCACATTTTATATAAAATGATTGAGAAGTGTTTTAGCTTTTAGATGTTGAAGAATTTAAGTCACATGACATAGTCCCTTCAATTTACAGACACGAAATAAATAAACATTAAATGGTTCATCTAAGGTCATGCAGCATTTATGTGAAAGAGGCAGAAGTTGAACTTAGCTATTGAGTATTTGGTATACGAGTCTAAATCTTTCCAGTCTATTAAAATCTGCCCTTTGTTTCTGGATAAAGAGAGCCAATTATACTTTCTATTGTTTTGTGAGATATGCACCACTACATAAGGTTCACTTCATAGAAATGTTTTTTGATTTTACAATGCGAAACTACTGGCTAGGGATATTAATTTCTTATTAATCCTACCCTAGCATCCAGTCAGGTTGAGATTAACAAAGGTTTGGAGCTGGAAAAAACCTTAGAGATCCCATGAACTGTAAGGCAGTTTCATTAGGAGTCCTCAACTCAGGGAATACAGAAGAACCAAGGCATAGTCTTGCCGTGTCACAATGAGCCAGATATGGTCCAGATTAACACTAATGCCACTGATACCCAGTACAGCTCCTTTTTCACTCTACAGAAGACTTCTTAAGACAAGAATCTTGACACTTTATCAGTTTTTACTTTTCAAGTGAAATGGAATTGCAAAATTGAACCATAATTTGCATTAAAGTAACCCTAAGCCCTTAACCCCCATAGCTGGATGCAGGAGCAGCAGAACATTACAGCATGGATTTATCTTCTGTTTCTTTGGTGTCATTCCTTATAGTCAACCACTGAAAAGTTTCTACATGGAAAGAGTTTGTTCCTGAAGCCCCTTGAACTGGCGCCCTCCTTTCCGTTCTTTTCTCTAGTCCTTTCATGTAAGTGTTACATCAACTTTTGAAAGAGTGTTGGTCTGTTAATCATTTCCTCTACTACTAGCAAATTAAACAACATTTTTAAATCTCTTGGGTCTGCAGTTTCCGTTATTTTAACATTTAATCGAGAAACTAGGACAATTCTAATCCCAAAACATCTTATTTTCAATTCCATTTAATTCTGTTTCCAAAGTTCAAATAAAATATAGAGAAAAACCTAATGGAAAGGTTCCTGTTTGTCATGGCTATGGCTAATCTATGTATCTAGAGCTTATGAACTGTGCCTTTAGGGGAAGGATGCAAAACGTTAGGATTTCAGAAAACCCCCAAAACACACAGCCAAATCTGTAACGTTTAATGAGATCACCTCCAGATGTAACTAACAGGAATGTCCAGTTGTGCAATATTTCTTTTATTAGCAAATAATTTAGGCTTTTGAGCAAGTTAAGTAACAAAATCAGCAGAATAATCAATATCTATTTGGGCTATCACTGGCGGTCTTAAAGAGCTCTTTTGAATTTTAAGAGTTAGCACCCATTCAAAAATAAAACATAGATTTGTTGTTTTTATTTTTTCTTACTTAATTCCCAGGCACTGGGAGAACAAATGGGATGATAGAAAACAATACAGACATGAATTTGATAGAACCATGTTTGAAACCCAACTTTGTTGTTTCTAGCTATAATACTTTAGGAAACCCCTGTTGACCATATTTTTCCATCTATAAATTTGGAATTGATATGTCATCTATAAGATTGCTGTGAAGAACAAACTAGATCATTGATGTGAAGAGGTCAAACACAATACTTGACATGTAGTAGAAGCTGTTTCAGAAAGCATGTCCCAAATTAACTTAACAAAAAAAGTGGCGATATGAATAATCTTAACAACTGACATATATATGGAAATCTTCGTTTTTCCAACAACAGGATGTTCATAATTCTAAAGAAAAAGTATCAACCTCATAATTTTGGTTTCTTATTTACAAGGATTCTGAAGACAGCAGAGCCAAATTATATAAACTCCCCCAGAGATTTCTGTCAGCTTTTTAAACTTGTTTATCTGAGTCTATATCTGATTGAATTGTCATAATTTTAGATTGTATATTAAACCTGAAAAAATTAAATAGATACACTAACATTCCATTCCAATCTCTAAGTTGGAATCATTCAACACCATCAAGTGCTTGGAACATACATTGCAACACTTGGCCCCAGCTTAGCAGAGCCTGGACTCACAATCACCCTAAACCTTATATGAATCAGAGCCAAATAAGTCATTAGAGAATCACAAACACTGTCTTGGGTAAAAAATGGAGATTACCAGTGTACAACTGTGACTCCGTATATCTGTAACATCTATGTTGCTTCAGTGAAATAGCAACAATCACATCAATAAAAAACACAATCTAGAAAGACCTCAATATTTATTAAAACAACAGCAACCACAATAAATTTTGTGAGACTTTAGCCATAGCGCTTGTCATATGACAGAGGTCATGCTCATAAGCAGTTATCTGAGAAACTGTTAATCCCGTTTGGCAACCAATCACAGGAAAGCCAGTAAGATTCACTAACCATTAAAGCTTCAGCAACTAATTTAACTAGGACTTTCACCATTTTCAGAAAATGCAGGCTGGATAGAATCAGCATAACTATTTTCCTAAATTAATACACATATTCAATGCAACAGAATCTTTTCCTAGAAATTGACAAACTTATCTTAATGTTTATATGAAAGAGCTAAAAGGCCACAAATGATCAATTCTATTTTCAAGGCAAAAGGGTAAGGGATTCGTCTTATCAGATACACAATGTTTTAGAAAAAGGAGGAGGAGGGGGAGGAGCAAGAGGGGGAGGAGAAAGACGAGGAGGAGAAAGAAGAAAAACTCATGTAACTATGAAGATGTGTATTAGTGCAGGGCTAGGGAAATGAAGCAGAGAAACAGAACACAGTGCCCAGGGATATTTATGTAGAAAGTATGATTTAGTATTCAGAATAAAAAAATAATCTTACAAATCTATGGACAAAGCCCAGTGGAAACATTTCAAACTCTCTAGTTATAAGTGAAATGAATGTTTAAAACACAAAGATCTAACTCTTCACACTCATCAGACTGACCAATATTAAAAGTTGCTCAAAAGTGTTAGGATATAAACAGGAGGAATTGTCAATAGCTAGTGAAGCTGAAGATGGGTGCAACCTACAGCCAAGAATGCCACACTTGGAGAAACCTTGTACATGTGAATGTAAGAAAATGTACACAAGAATATTCATTGCATCATTGGTTGTGATTAGGGAATAGATTTAGGAACAAGATGACCTGAACGTCAATCCTGGTACCAATCCTTAACTCTGTGAACTCAGACAAGTTACCAATCTCTCTGTGCTGTGGTTTCCTCATGAGTGAAACAGTCTCATAGCTGTTGTGAGGATTAAGTGAGTTCAGATAAACAGAGCATTAAAAATAGTCTCTAAATTTAATATTTACTGTTGTTTAATTATATTTATTTAACACATAGCTGTTATTCCAAGTTTATTAATCTACCACAATAGGAAATGATTATATTTACAAATCAGAACTTCATTCTTCCAAGCTACACTAGGTCACATGGAAACTACAGTTCTTCAAGCCTTCAAACTTCATTTCAGCTGTGGAAAACGTTCCTCAACAAAAGCTTAAGCAGAAGCAGGCAACAGGGTCCAGGATAAACCTAATCTTTCAGAAGTCAGCATGACATGCTTAATCTCCATCATGGCACCCAGATTTCAAGGGTTAATAGAAATAAGCAAAATTAAAGAAAACCATATGTACCAAATTCTAAACCTAAGAACAGGAGAGACTAGGGAATAATGTTCACGTTTTTTAAAGGAAGCACTCTAATTCCAATCAAGTGTAGTTTCCCCATTTTAATTCAAAATATGATTTGGTTGACAACATATGCACATACATACACGGCTTGCTGAAATTTTTTAGAAAATGTGCAATGTAATGAGGATATTTTATACTTGAAATATTTATTTTTATAATCACAAAAGTGACAGGAAAATTAAAAATATTTTAAAAAGACTTACAAAGAGTCAAAAAATAAAAAATTCTCTTAACTTCTTTGCTTCACTCTAATAATTTCTTTCCCTGACATTTTATACACACACACACACTCTCTCTCTCTCACTCTCTCTCTCTCTCTCTCCCCACAGGGTATTTTAAAAGCACATAAGATTGCAATATTCATTACATATGCATAAGACCAATTTTAGTTTCATACTTTCTTATCCATGTGTATATCCAATTATACCAATATCATTTATTAAATGACTTCCCACTGACTTAAAATGCTATTTTTATTACAGTCATAGTTTTTTTTTTTTCCTGGAATCTAGTCTATTCTATTGATCTATTATTCTATGTCAGTGCCAAAATCCACATAATTTCATTTACTATAGTTTTATATTATATTTTGATATCTGTAGAGAAAGTTCTCCTTCACTTCTCTTTTAAAATTTTTCTTGCCCATTACTATGGTTTCTTTTCCTCACCTCATCTTTATAATTGACTTACAAAGTTCCATAAAGTGTATTTTGGAGATTTAGATTGACACTTCTTTAAATTTATAGATTTATTTGCAAAAATGGGATATTTTCAATATCCCAAGATATGCTCTAAGAAGAAAAAAGTGGATTAGAAAAAATATATACATTTCTTGAATACTGAATGTCAGAGAAAGGTTATTTTCTAAAGATAGATAAGTGAGGGTACTCATTTTTATTGTGAAATAGGAAGGAAAGGATAAAGTGAAAAATAAAAGCACAAACAATATGATGCATTATAGTTTAACAGATTTGATTTCGAGGCATGTCTCTTTTATACTGTCTGGA